AGCTGGGATATTACACGTAAGTGATTGAGGCATTGCAGCGACGCGTACTCGGACCGTGCGCGCCAGCCACCGGAATAGCGGATGCCTCTCATGAGAGATGGACTCATGAGCTGCAGAGTTTTACCTAGGCACGCTGTTGGCAGTAAGTCAGGAGAGAGAGCGTAGACAATGACAAGGGTCATATCAGAGTACATAAGTAGTCTATGTTCTGTCTCATGAACAGCATCGGAAAAGTATCGGACACCTGCCAGCAATCAAGTTACCAAGTATCAAACCATCTGAACAAAAATTGTGACACATTCCAAGTAACTATGCTCCCAATTAACTCATAACCTTAACAGTTTCCCGGAGGAAAACACGAGAAGCCAGTGGGCATATGTGTGAACGGTGTGGTTATCGAGCCATTAGACCAAATACGCTGGCTGGGAGTACACCTAGACCCGCGACTGGATTTCAAACACCACATCACGACGTGGTGTGGCAAAGCTCTGAAGGTTGCTCAGCAAATGTGATGCTTCAATTCAGCGTATCGAGTAGCGGCCACATCGGCACTGGTTCGACCGGTGGACACGTGCATTGTCCCCATAGCAACATTTGGAGCAGATGTTTGGTGGCCCGGCCTCATATGTCCGACCATTAGGGGGATCATCACACCTCGAACCAGCATCTTCTGCGAGATGATTGACAAGGCAATCTTAACAGGACTGCGCGCTGCCCTCCCAGTAATGAGAACGACACCAAATCTTGTTCCCCACCGAGAAGGAGGTATCCCAACAGGGAAGATCATTCTGGAAGGGAACCGACTACAGTTTTCGGCTCGTCTACACTCACTAGACAATCGCCACCCGCTCCGGACCCGTGCTGCCGTGTGTTCAAGAGATGGAACACGGAAGTACAAGAAATATGCTCGGATGTATAAAAATCCAGAGTTCCAGATGTCACGAGTCCAGCGGGCTTACCGACAACTCCCGGACGCGGAAAATACCAAGCCTTTACCGCCGCCATGCTATCTTTCGGGTTTCGGCTCAAGGTTAGAGGAGGAAGAAAAGCTTACTCGGTTCCTTAGAGAAGGACTAGCATCGGATATTTGTGCCTACCCGGATGGATTGTCGGAGGAGAATGGTCGCTTAGGATGGGGGTTTGTCTTGAAGAGGAATGGAAAAATTCTGTTGAAGAGGTGTGGCATCAAGTATGGTGGTGAAGTGCTTGATGCGAGAATACTAGGGGCGAGGAAGGCCCTGGAAGCTGCGCTGGAATTGTCGGAGGGGGAGAACGGGGGAAAAGACGTTAGGCAGCAGATCAATGTATTGACGGATGGTCAGTCTGCAGTGAAAGCACTGCTGACGGGAATTACCACAACAAGCCTCGACGACGTACGCCAATTTAGGGCGCTATCAAAAAAGGCTCTAGTCTCGGTGAAGTAGATACTGGCCCACTCCGGGATATAGGGAAACGAAGATACAGACAGAGCTGCACGCTCCGGCCTCCGACAACTGCCAAGCAAAGACAGCCAGCCTGTCTCCGTCACAATGGCGTACGTTCGTCGGCTCATGAACCAGAAACGTCAAGCGCTTCTCGACGACTGGTGGGAAGAAGTATGTCCACCTAGGTATCGAAATCTTGGACTTCTCATGCGACGACAAAAGCCTCGCGAGCACGCACTTTCCCGGCGGCTACTCCGTGAACTGATTTCAGCTCGTACGGGACACGGAAACTTCGCTGCATGCCATCGTCGTTTCAACAACTTCGCAGCCTCAATGAAGTGTGCGTGTGGGGAGGAAACATCACCTCTCCATTTCATTCACTGTCGACTGCACGCACGCCAGACGCGTCGACTACGAGGGACAATGTCACATCACGACTTTACCCACAAACTTCTCGGGCCTAAGTGTCTCGAGAACTTTACAAATTTTGCGCAGGAAGCCGGCTGCTTCGGGGGCCCTCCTATGGATCCGTCTCCAGCTCTCAGCGGAGACGGTGGTAATTAGTCATAGCACGATGCATGGAAGGTAGAAAAACGAGGCGAGAAGTGTCGTTTTTCTAACCACAAACTGGATTACTGGGCTTGGAACTTTAGATATGGGAGTTTACGGGAGTTTCTATTTTACTTTCTTTTAACTAGCTACTTGTAAGGATTCTGGAGAAATGCCTCAGGCAGGGTTTATGGGTTCCTTGTTTAGCACCACTAGGCTTTTTTTTTTCTTTTTACATCAGATTTTAATTGCGTATGCATCTATCTAGCTACGACACAATATCAAAGAAAAGTACAGAATAGATGACTCAACGTAAAGGAAGAGCACTCATGCCACGAATTTCATTTGCAAGTACCACTGCAAAGTTATGGTGGCTTTTTCTTCACCCCAAGTCAATCCTCATCCGTGAATACCCACCCAGGGGAACGTCTGAAAACCACTGAGTTATTCAGACATGCCTCCATCATCCATCAACTTTTCTCCACGCGAAATATAATCTGAGATGTCTCCTCCCCAAGTGGAGTAGGTGCCCAGTCTACTCAAACTATACCGGAGAACACCACCAGGAGGCGGACCACAACACCTTCCATTGTTGGCTTGTTTTTATAGTGTGAGCTGCACTTTCGCAAGCGAATTCTTGGCGCGCACAATGCTCAATTCGTAAAACTCCTTGCCAAAATTCGGGACTTCATGCCCGTCGAGATTGTATCCATCCTCTGCATCATCTTGTAAACTTGTCCTGATCTCTCTCACGTCCATCCCAAAAAACTGTCTCCCAGATTTGTGCGCAACGCTTTCTTTCCTCTAGCGGGTACAAATAAAGGCGTGTGCGTGTATTTGGTAACGAACTGAGACCAGAGAATGTCGAGGAGAGGTGTGGTCATTGGAATGAGGATGTACTTGGTCGTACTTGTAGACTTGATGAGACGAAGATAGGAGTCAAACTTTTTGGGAGCGAAAATACGACGTGGAGGAGTAATTTAGATTTTTGCCTCGTGGGCCAGCTTCTTTGATATTGCGAAATTTGACGGAACTTGGCTCTGGAAGAATATTTCACTCCCAGGTTCGTAGAGGATACCGCGTACAGGTGATCAGTCTTGCCCTCCGCACCACTAGGCTTATTGCCTAGCGAGGATAGTTATGTAGTTTTCACTTCGGAGACTGAGATCTTCACGCTTTGTTTTCTGTCTTTAGGAATAGATACATTATTCTAATCACATCTCACTCTCGTCCTCTGCCAACCATAGTGACCTACCGTCACCTCCAGCCCCTCTATCTAGAACGACTCCCCGCTTTCCCATTTAGCACTTCTCTAGAAAGCCCTCCGCATTCCCACGAGGCGTCCTTCTCCAGTACATCGTACGCTACGCCCTCTTCTACGCCTCGAGTCTTGCGCCTGGTGAACCTGCGCCTGACACTACTGGTTGTGTCGTGGTTCACGCGGTGAAACCGAGGTGGGCATGTGGGAAGCGTGATATCGGCCGTGTATGCCGGTCTTTGACTCCTAGGAGATATAGAGCATGGCTTAGGATCTTGAAATAAATCAATCAATAATATACCATGTGCATCCCGTAACATTTGTTGCCACAATCACCCAAGTATATTCTGAGCCCCCTGAGTAGTCATGTCGGTAAGAGGTTCATATTTTGGCAGTAGGAATTGTTCAATGTAGTTGCGTTATTCATGTTGTCATTAGGACACTGACAGGGGCCTAATTTAGCTCATTAGCGAGGCGCTTGGAGTAGAGGAAGAAAGAGGAGATGGGGGGAAGAAAAGACATTTTTCCATGTATTTCGAGATACCAGTAAATTGAGATTTTTCACCGATTTTGTGACGGACAGCTGACTTCGTGATGGCACCCAATTTTTATTACTTCGAGTTTTACCAACAAGTCACAAACATTCAATTGAAGATACCAAGTGTATACTACCATACACATCACCACCCGTCAATACAAGCTACTAGATCTACTATACTACATAGCTGATCACAACACTCACCTCTCGTCGATCTTCTAGCCCCAGCTGGCCGCCAAATACACGCCCTCGCCGATATTTACACCCAATGTAGGGAGCAGAATGTGACGCGCAAATCTGGGAGACAGTTCTTTGTGATGGACGTGAGAGGGATGAAGATAAGTTTTCAAGATGATGCGAAGGATGGATACAGTCTCAACGGGCGTGGAATTTTGAAGTTTGGTAAGGAGTTTTTACAAGTTGAGGTTTGTACGTGCCATGGCTTCAATTCCGAGAGTTAAGGTGACACTTTATACACAGCCATGGCCGGTGTGCGATTCAGAGTCGGGATAGCTTGGACACATATCCCACTCGAGACAGTAGATGGCTGTTTCCAATCCGGCAAAACAAAACCACATTTCTCGCGCCGCTGGTATACATGGAAGACGAAGTTATGCTTGGATAATGAAAGGGTTTGAAATTCTCTTCGGTGGGTGCTAACGGAGGAGGATCGAACGTTTGTCTGAGGGAACGTACTTCAAAGTGGTATTTGCGAGTGAAATCCATTGTATGAGTGTCTCTAACGTCAAAAGAGTCATTCAAAAGGTTTACTTGGCACCGATCATATGTTGTAGCTGAAAATCGGTATACACATTAAACGAAAAAGAAAGAATAAGCCCAGTGGCATTAAACGAGGAGCCCGTGCAAACTGCCCGAAGGCATACTTCCAGAATCCTTACAACTATCTACCATGGATATTATTAATGTTATCCATTCATCTGATATCCATTCATCTGATATCTAAGTTTACAACCATGGATATGCATTTGCTGATAGAACTCAATGGTAGGTGTTTGTCCGCGACTTCACTGTGTGCGTCAATTTGTGAGGGATTAGGAGATGTACGGAGCGCGTTGCAATGTCGGATGGCCCTGGAATAGGGGAAAACATTCTGAGCAGGTGGTTTCCTAGAAATGAATCCTTATTTAAATTTTATCTTGCAGGAGTTACCCGCGAGGCTCTATTACTACGCCATAACTTGATCCAAATCACAAGGCCGATGTATTGACTGTTATAAGGTTTTTAGGAATATACATGGCTCCCAAACTTGTTCATCTCTCTCAAAGGCTCGGAAAAAGGGATATTCATCGATTATTTGAGCCAAGTAGGAAGTAGAGTCTGAACACCGAGAAGCATGTTTAGTGATAGCAATATCAAAGGAGTAGGAAACTAACATCTACCTGGTGGTGTCGCGCCAAATTGGTATGACAAGTATTCTTCCCCATTCGGACCTCTAGGATCACCAGGCTTCGCCTCCGAAAATCCATCATGTCTTTTAAAATTTTCAAGTCTTGCAAGCGTAAAAGGAATAACCCCACTGCAATTAAAGTGTGGTTCAGCATAAACAGCTGGCACTAGCAGTAAAAGACCAGCCCATGCGGCCGGGACTATGGCACTGGGAAACTTCATCTGGTGAGTGTTGTCTCACGGAACTGGATTTTCGGCTCCAAACAGATGGCCGCTCGATGTTACTGAGGAGTATCAATGGATTACTGACGACAAGATGTACGGGTATTGTTGATGGATATGTGTTGATAGTATTAGGCGCCAATGATTCTCTGGGTGAAGCAAAAGGTGCGTCGATCGAATAACTTTGCCATGCAGGCTGTGGCGACAAGGACTGTGTGATTAAATATTAGAGGAAATCTACTTTTAGCAAACCAATTGTTAAGTTTTGAATTATTCACGCTCCAATGCGCGTGTCCCATTCCATGACAAACTTTGCCCATGAGTTAAATGAGCCAAGCCGTACCTAAGAGGCATGCATTCCCGTAGATAATTGACCAATGCAACCTTATTTCATAATTTAAAGCGAGTGATTTACTATGAGCCGGCCCATAGACCTGATCCATCTAGCATTTGCGGGTCGATGATCCAGCTCCTGCTGCAGAACCGATATTAAGCACGACTTTTGTCACTTGCATGAGGAATCCCAAACGCTCTCATCATCGGTATTGTCTTCATCTCTCAGCAAGTCGGCCAAGACAATTCTTCACCTTCCAGCGGCGCCGGTGAAGTCACTTGGTATGCTCTGCATACATTCGATAGCCAAGAAGAATCGAGATTGAAGATCAATTCAAGCGCATATAAAGTCGGCCATTTCCATCAACATTTATTCTTTAACTCTCCCGCGAGCCTTCCGACATGATCTTGCCAATCACGGACTCGCCTCAACGACTGACCAAGGAGCTGCTCTAATTGGATACAAGAGCTTACCCCAAAAATCATCCATCGTCCTTGGCTTAAATTTACGACGCAGTGTCTACCGTCGAGGAGACCAAGCCATAGTGTACAGAGCTTGACTTTTGGCATGTGGACGACCGTTGCTCTAGTGACGCACTGCAAGCCGAGGCAGTCCAGGTAGCTGAGATGTGGAACTGGGCGGGAGGAGATCTCTCCCGGGTCTGCTGGATCTGACATTGTCGGGGGGGTTGAACTATGGACGTTTGAGGGCGCCAAGACTACGTTTTCCGTCAATGAGGCAGGATGACATTTATTTTCGATTAGTACGAAGCACTTTTTAGTTCCCAAAGCACCACTTCTAATTTCGGCGAAGACAATTTACAGCTGGCAGACTCTATCAAGACTCTTCTAATATTACAACACTGCTTTCAGAGTATAGTTGATCGGAGGCGATAAAGGCAGGTGAGTGGATTTTATTGGGTGCTCGCCAGTCTGGCACGCTCATTGGTTTCGCTAATTGCTCCGGTCGCAATACGCTCGAAAATATTCATCATTTGCGTGGATGGAGAGGATTGTCAAGAAGAGGCAAAGGGCCGTTCCGTATCCTCAAAGAAGAACTTGTGTGGGTATCTGTACAGGAGTTGATAAATTGGGACTAAGTAGCTCATTCCGGAGTGAAGGAAAGTGATTGATTGATTCTTATGAAGTATTCCATCTTCCTCTAAATACAAGTCCTTCCGTCCTTCATCAAATCACCCACGCACATACCATATAATCTTGTCATACTATTGTACAAGCTTAATGTGTCAAATAATCCTATGAAGGAAGAACATTATTAACTCCAATATCGCAAACAGCAACTGTCAGGAGCAACTAATACTAGTTCAACGTTACAAGTCGTAGATGACATAATTATAGATAGTTACAGGATTACGCTTCATGGATAAACGTGGCGGAAACTAGGATGGTGTCTCATGGGGAGTTCCATTCTAAAACACAACTCGGGGTTAGATCAAGTTCTCAAACAATTAGGACAGGCTCAGGAATATAGGGTCGTTTCATAGGGATTGCGTAGTAATACTGTTCGAGACAGAGCTTAGGGCTGTCCTATTATCTGATGTACATATATACCCAGCGTGAAGGAGTATTCTTCTTCACGCAACGTCTTCTGTTTATACTCATACCTATTGTTCACTTATCTCTTCTCCAAAGAAGACCGCCGTTATTGTACCCTTCTCACCTACTACTTATTATACCTTTACCTCTTCCGTGAAACCTATACCTAACGCTGACTTTATACCTCCTACTCTTAGGAATCACCACCGTACTCCACACCTGTAACCTACTTGTACCAAACTCGTACCCTACGGAATACTGATAAACACGGCTCCTTGAGATTACATGAATAGAAACAGTAACAGGATATTTTTAGAGATAATATCAGGTCAAACGTTTAGAGCCCAATATATCTCATGTGAGATCTTGGCGCACTTAGCCCGCAAGGTTATATGTACTTTCTTGTTGGTTTCACAACGCTTTGGATGTAGGTCATAGCTAGGTTTACAGTAGGATAGGAGTTATGCCACTGTTTGTTTTTGGAAGCAGATTTTAATTACGTATGCAGCTATCTAGCTTTGACACAGTACCAAAGAAAAGTACAGAATAGATGAATCAATTTAAACGAAAAGCACTCTTTCCTCGGATTTCATATGCAATTAGGACTGCAAAGCTATGGTGGCTTTTCCCTACCCCAAGTCAACCCTCATCTGTGAGATATACCACTAGTCTAGCTTTGCTTGACATATACGCAAGAAGCTATAGCATTTCATTAACAATCAAAGACCAAGGCCGGGCGATACCTTCAAGGTAAATAACTACGTCAATGTGATAATCCTTCTAACAAAAATTCTGATATTTCAGAATAACAAATGGTATCTGCTTCTCCAGTAACGAATTCTTGGTAGCGAAGTAGAGTATTTCCATTGGCCGATAGCCTTGAGGATAAGCTGAGTAGCAATTGTGCAGGCACTGTCCATTCTTCAAACATGAAAACCGCATCAAATCTTCCAATGTGGATATGCTCGGATCTAACAAGAGGCTAGGCTCTAGTCATTATTCCATGAAGTCAACGAGCGCGTCAGTGCAATCAAGGCCTCAGTCCTTGAAAGGTGCGTTGAAAGTCCTCGACACTGAAATGAGACAGCACAGACAGGAAATTGACGCGGTCAGAGCTGAAGGATAAGAAGGTCTGCAAGGGTGAAGATCTTTCAGCAAGAGATAACCAGACATTTTTGATTGCAAACAAAGGTAAGTGTTTCTTGAATAGTGATCATTGTTGCAAGATTTATCACAACTTCACCTTACCTCCCTGCCGAAGTAAATGAAGCCGTGTGTCACAGTAGGGAGTGAGGTGGATGGTGACCGACGATGTCTGATCTGGTGAATTAGATTGTCTACAAAGAGGAAAGAATCCAGTACTATGAAACTAATAATTATTTACGGACGCATTTAGCGTGCATTTTGACATCTCGACATATCATGTGACTGCTTTGCCCGAACGCCTTGTTTCCTTGGCACCGTGCAGACTGTCGACGTATCCTTTAGAAGTGGAAGAACCCTGAGCATAAAGCAACACCAGAGACTGGGTGGATATAAGGGTAGAAAGGCCGACTAATGTCTGGCCGCAACTGAATCTAACAAAGAGTAATAGTCGAGCGAAGGGAGATGCGGGGAATGGCAAACTCTTGAGGAGATTGCTTCTCCCGCGTCGCAGCACCAATTTATCCTGGATATCTCGAGGATGAAGATTACCGCGCAGGGCTTTTTATCTGATTATTCGATAGGTCAACTGTCTGACCGGGAGGTGCCAGTCGTGTAGGTAGATTTGGAAGCACAGAGATGCACGACTCGGGTCAGGTCTGACGAGAATAGGGGTTTCCTGGCACATGAGGGTATCAAATCAGATCAACTGTTGGAAGGTGTTAGGAAAAGCTACTCAGTCAACTGGCTGGTTAGGAAAAAAATGTCCAATCTCTCGGTGCTCGGCTTCCATTCATCATTCTGTAGAACTATAACACATCACGTTTTCTCTTTACACTGTATATTATCTACCCTGTGACTCTACTTCCTCAACATCTCATCATAAGTTTCACATTGATAGTTACTTGAATGATTACGCTCTGCAACCTCAACAATTAAGGGGTCGTTATTTTCTTCTTATTAACTATATATGCCTTGCAGATGTGCAGGTTCTAGCCGAGTACGAGGATTTTCAAAGGCCATGTTCTCCAGAAGATTTTTCCTCGTAATTGCTTGCCAATTTTCATTCCCAGATCCTGCCTTGACACATACACTACACCAATGTATCGCTTGTTATTAATTTTCTCGGAACAAACATAGTTCCCACCCTTTATCTTTTTTCTCATAGACGCGGAATGTTGGAGTGTCATCAATCAATTGAACTATATATGCTGTGGTGTCTTTTTACCAAATATGGTTACTGAGAGCCATATCAGAGGACCAGGTAACTTACATCCTGAATTTGGTATCAAGTTGTATCGACGTGTGCGGTAAAACTCGCCGTTGGGACCGAGAGGATCGCCAGACTTCGCCCTTGCCACATCACAAAACGATTTATCATGTTTGAGTCCTTCCAAGCTGATTTTCTCATTATAACTACATAGGAAATGTGGTTCTCCGAGCGCAACAGACATCAGTAAGAGAAGGAAAGCCAGTGCGGCCGTGGAGGCAGAGCTGAGAAACTTCATTGGGAGAATATTGTACTAAAGAAGCCGAAATTTGGACTTCGAACACAAATCCACGTGCTCTTTCACCGAGCTGCAATGTATTTTATGACGAAATTCCCTGGAATTTATGATGAAAATGTGGTGACAATACTCGGTGCCAATGTCTCTGTCGATGGCGTGAAAATAGTCTTGGTTAAGTATCTGGATGATATTTAGAAGATGAACATGGACCCTAATGTTTATATATTTTTGACAAATCTACTTTGCATACCCATGTAATATTTCTAAATTAATTGACGCAACAGCTCTCGAGTACTGATCCATGGCAAGTTTTAGCAATTGATTTAATGAGCCAAGCTTTGCCAATAGACATTTGACTAATCTGTTTTTAATTTCACCAGCAGAGCTACGTTATCTTCCGTGGGCAGAGAAGAAGGCTTGCTCAATGTATCCCATCTCCCATATATCGTAAGAATACTGTTGATATCATGGGTATGTGATATTTGTTGCGATTTCTGGGATACTGTAGATATCTCTTGTGATACTCCCCTACAGCCTAACAGCCAGACGCCTCAAGATATTAGAGGTCGCTGGAACGGCCAATAATTGCCGCATTTCGGCAATTAAGTATCATGTAGACAGAATTCATTTTCTGGTCCTGACAGAAAGTTTTCCCGCAAAGCTATCGTATTCTGCTCGAATAAAATTAAGGCGAATGGATCAAATTGACATTCCTGAGGTATAAGATGCTCATGCAAAGGGTGAAGGGTGAAGATTTGCTCGTGGGTGCAGTGTCCCCAACAGGCTCGAATGACAAATAGTCTCCCAGATCCGAAATTCGTCAAATTTGGTAATACTGAAGAAGTCAGCGTACGGGGTAATGACTCACAACTCTAAATCAAATATTAGCCCAGATGGTTAATTTCTGACCAGACTCCCATCACGTGAAGTACGGAATGGCACATCCTCATTTCCACGACCACACCTCTCGTCACATCCGTCTCTGGCCTTAGTATGATGCCAAGCACAAAGCCACGGTGATGTGTAATCGGGCTACACTGAACTCTATTTCCGTACTTAGTTGTAGGATTTAATCTTTGTTCTGTAGCTTTGCAATCAATTTTATTAGTCTACAAAGTATGCTTATACTCGTCCGCTCTGTCCTTCACTGTCCATCGGAACAAAGTTTAAATTTTAACAATTGGAACTTAAAATGTAGCTCGAATCTAATGTTGTCACGGACCAAGGACCTATTCTAAAACAATAGGAACTATGTACGAAGAGATGTGAGCCGTACTACTATATTCTATCCTAATCTGTTCTGTTCCATGCTGTACTTGTCTAGACTATCCTATTCTGTATGAGAGTATACTGCAAAGTTCGAGAACAATAGAGAGGAATATATAATGGGTAATTGGGATGACTATGGTTCGGCAGATTATGGTCTTGTTCTGTTATAATAACGAGGTTATGAGAAGACAGAGGAATACCTGAAATGGATGCAGACAACTATGGATATGCGGACACTGTCACGGGACTAAGGGCTAGCGTCATAGGCTAGAACATATGTATAGATATCTCTTGTATTAAAACCTCTCTTTTCTTATTGTTGCACAACACAATTATATTTTCTATCCTTTAGTACCTGACCTGTGAGCCACCGTGACATTTTGTGTGTTCTCAATTGTGTCCCGTTGCATTTGGATCCCGACATAATAGAAAAATTAACTTCCTTATTCTAACTCCTGCCTGCAACCTGACACAAAACCTGAAGTAAATCCCAGCTACCATCCCATGGAGTTTCTCAATAAAAAAATAAAAAATATTGTAATTGTTACAAACACGGAATCCGACCCCAGAGCCACTGAAATTGTTACGGCGTGCGCTAAGGATACTGGAGATCGCAGTCTGCCGAAGGTAAGGTATTAATAACTGTTAGGATTACAGTTGCTAACGAAGGATACTTAGATATGATTCGCTTGGCGAGGTGCCAGGTAGTCAAAGGTTGTAGAACTACAGAATAGTTGAAAGACACGAAGTCAAGAAGACGAGTTGACGAGCAGGCAATCAAGGCTGATAACTCAGGGTGCACAGAAGTACGAAGAATATAACGAATAACGAAAGACTGAGAATATCGGACTGTGAGAATATACAATTATAATATTATATAAATGCTAGATTGCGAGATCAAGGATCAAAAGAATGAAAGATTGAGAAGCTGGAGAGCTACTATGTGGCAGCTCCAGCTTCCTTAAGTCTAACTCGAGACAGTACTTGAACTCAACTAAGACTATGACAAATGCCGTCATGATGCCAGCCCCTCCATCTCTAACTGTAGGAGTTTTTTCAAAACCTTCACTTATCACTTTTTCCTGAGAACCTTCCCCTTGAAACCTCTTCAAGGATGCCTGGCCATAACAGAAATTATCATTGCTTTTCAGAAGAGTTGGCCGAACTTGAGCACAGCAATGGAAGGGCATCAGATCCCAAATGGTTCGAATCCAGCTTCTCTGCTGAGCTCGATTGATTCAACCACTAACACATTCAAAACTATTTTATTTTGTAGTTTGCTTCAGTGTTTTGATTCAAAATTTGGTGAAATCAAAAATACACATATGACTGAAATTATCTCCTTAATTCAATCATATCTAATTTAAATTTAGCACGCTCTTTAGACAACAACAAGATGTCAAATTTAAATGATAAAATTTCAAGCTTACAGTCTGAAATAAAAAAACTACAGGTTGATGCCATTCTCAGCATGAAACCCTCGAAAATTGATTCTACAGACACAATATTGTGCTGGACTAGGTCCGATTCAGAAAAATTTTCTGCTGTACAAACAAGTACTGAAAAACGACAAACTCTATATGATAGTTGGAAAATACAGATCCAACAAGTGTTGATCGTGGATGGTAGTTGCTTTCCTGGAAGTTTCAATTGTATATCATATGTAACCAGTCAACTCTCAGGGAAAGCATGGGAAGCTATTAAAGACGGTGTTCAGAAAACGAATTCATACCCAAGTGGTTCGGAGAAGTGGCATTGGAGAACGCAAACAGACTTATGGCAAGTCCTTGATAGGAGATACATTCTACTTGATACTACCCAGATGGCAAAGAATGCCTTAGACACACTTTACCAAGACAAATGTGCTTATGGAGAATTTAAGGCCGACTTTGATCATTATTTAGAAAGGGCAAAATGCAATGACCAAACTAAAGTGGACCTCCTTAGAAAACGACTTAATCGAAAGATTACTGGCATTATTAACAACCAAGTAAATCTTCCTGATTCGGACAATTATACTGGGTGGAGTGATATGATCAATAATATTGCTCGCAATATCAAACAACAGGAGCACATCCTCATGTTGCTATCTTCATCTAACTCAATGTAACAGAATAACAACCCAATAGACGATTTGTTACCTCATGCTGGACCATCCAATTCTGAAGATTCAATGGACCTCAACCGCATTTCAATATCAAGTGCTGAGTGTAAATTTCGAATGGAAAACGGCTTATGTTTTGCATGTGGTCAAACTGGACATATGGCCAAAGATCATCATCGCAAAATTGACCCAGTGCCAATGCCAAAACATTCTACCAATCAATGGACATCTTGTGAGAGGAATGAATATAAACAATTCCCTACTTTTAATACTCATGATCTACCCACCACTAAATATTTAACACCAGAAACTCAGCCCTTTCCGATTCCGATGATGTGTTATCCTCCGCCTCGATTTATTCCCAAATACCATCATCAGTCACCATACCAATTCTCAAACTCACAGCTTTTATACCCCGACGCTCCGGTTCAATCTCGTCTGAGAGTGTTAAATGGAAACCACGGATTTGAAGAACACTGTCAATCTCAGAATTCGGGGGATATAAAACAAGCTTATAGAAATTGTGAACAGTTAAAAGACCAACCCCTAGCTTAAGTCGCTGCCAGGGGTACAATTGGTATGGAGATGAAGACAAGGCTATCGAAGATATATTGATAGATAATTCCACTTTGGAATTATGCTCAACTTGTTCCTCAAATTCAATGCTTCTTTGCTCTTCTTTCTCTAACCCGCGCACAAATAATTCAGTCATGATTCCCACAGCATACTTGATTGATAGTGGCTGCACTGCTATGGCATTTGCTGATAAATATTCTATTATTAACTGTTTTGGAATAGAAATAAAGCCCCTCTATACTCCACAATCTGTTCTCTTGGCTGATGGCTCTATAGAAGCCTCTATAACCCACTGCTTTACATTCCGTTTGCATATTGAGCAACACTGTGAAAGGTTTAAAGAATTCAGAAGTACTTGAAAGACGTTAACTCAATAGGAATTGATAATCTTTCCTTAGGAAGCTAATCTGCCTACGACGGCTCCTGTCCTTTATGTCCTCCTCAGCGTCGCGTTTAAGCTCCCCTCCTAGCCTACCTGAGAATACTCCATTCTCCCCGGCTACCCTCTTTCCTGTGACATCCTGCCCCCCTTAGTACCTACTCCCTTGGGTCCTTCCTCATCCGCAACCTTGCAATTATCCTTATGCAACACTGAGACTCGTTCTTGTGCGCAACCTTGCATTAATCCTTATGCGACACTTAGATCCCTCTTTGTGCGTATCCTTGCATTCTTCCCATTGCAACCTTTCGCGTCTCTGTAAGCGCTGCTTTGTTGGCGCTTAAAGATCTAGCCGGGTTGGTCCTAGTGACCAGTCCCAATCCGGGCACAGCCCGTAACAAACCCTCGGAGATTATTCTCTTTTTTGTTACTAACCTAAGTAGATGTAATCCCATAATTCTTGGCCTGCCATGGCTAAAATTAAACAACCCTAAATATGATTGGAGCTCCTTAAGCCTCACTTTTAGTTCCTTGTATTGCTGACACCACTGCCTTGATTGGAAGTACCTACAGTCCAATCCGTCTCAGCAAGTAAGATCGGTTACAGCAATCTCATTGTCAGATAAGATTTTGTCAATGCCTGTTACAAACTAGCCACTTCAAACTGCTGCA